CTGGTTTAGTCCTGGTTTAGTCCTGGTTTAGACCTGGTTTAGTCCTGGTTTTAGTCCTGGTTTAGGCCTGGTTTAGTCCTGGTTTAGTCCTGTTTAGACCTGGTTTTAGTCCTGGTTTTAGTCCTGGTTTAGTCCTGGTTTAGACCTGGTTTTAGTCCTGGTTTAGTCCTGGTTTAGTCCTGGTTTAGTCCTGGTTTTAGTCCCTGGTTTAGACCTGGTTTAGATGTAGATTTTAGTCCTGGGTTTAGTCCTAGTTTTTAGTCCTGGTTTTTAGTCCTGGTTTAGTCCTGGTTTTAGTCCTGGTTTAGATGTGGTTTATTCCTGGTTTAATCCTGGTTTTAGTCCTGGTTTAGTCCTGGTTTAGTCCTGGTTTAGACCTGGTTTTAGTCCTGGTTTAGTCCTGGTTTAGTCCTGGTTTAGACCTGGTTTTAGTCCTGGTTTAGTCCTGGTTTAGTCCTGGGTTTAGTCCTGGTTTAGTCCTGGTTTAGACCTGGTTTTAGTCCTGGTTTAGTCCTGGTTTAGTCCTGGTTTTAGTCCTGGTTTTAGTCCTGGTTTAGTCCTGGTTTAGTCCTGGTTTAAGTCCTGGTTTTAGACCTGGTTTAGACCTGGTTTAGTCCTGGTTTAGTCCTGGTTTTAGTCCTGGTTTTAGTCCTGGTTTAGTCCTGGTTTTAGACCTGGTTTAGATGTTGGTTTAGTCCTGGTTTAGACCTGGTTTAGTCCTGGTTTTAGTCCTGGTTTAGATGTGGTTTAGTCCTGGTTTTAGTCCTGGTTTTAGTTAGCCTGGGTTTAGTCCTGGTTTTAGTCCTGGTTTAGTCCTGGTTTAGTCCTGGTTTTAGACCTGGTTTAGACCTGGTTTATGTAATCTGTAATCCGGTACATGTAATCTATTACTCCCCAACTCTGCAGTCAATAATAAAAAATACTTCCAGTTCAAAAATACAGTAAAGTAGAAAGTACACATCTCTAAAATGTTGACTTAAGTACAATGTTTTACTACTTTTACATTAAACCAACCATAAAAAAATAAAAATAAAAATGCAAAATTATAAGGCCTTGGATTTTAAACAGCACTTAATGTCATTTTCCAAAACCTGTCTTCAAAACCGCGCCCTTCGGTGTTTATATAGGACGCGCATTTCCACAAAACGTCTGCTCAAAGGCGTCTATTTATTTTAAACCATATTTCCGTGACCGTTAACGCGACTCCTCTCATCCACGTCTGATTAATGCCGGTGCTAAAAATACGCCCCCCTCTGCTCCGTCGCTACATTAGCCTCGTTAGAAATGCAAAACGCCCAATTAGCGCCTGGGTCCGGATCCGGGGACACGTTCCACCTGAAAACGCCCCCAAAAGTGAGCGGCGAGCCTAGACGGGGGGGTCCATAAATCAAGACCCGCACCTCCACACTGCTCCAGACCGAGGAGGAAGAGAAAAGTACCACGTCGAATTACAGCCTCATTAAGTTCGGCTAAAAATAAACACGAGGAGCAGAGAGGAGCGGCTGCGGGGGCCGTCTGAAGACCGAAGAGAGGTTTAAGGGGGAGTTTATGCACCTGGGGAAGACTAAAATAAGAAATAATTCAGCTAAAAATCACATAATTCAAACGTTTTTAGTTATTCTTGACGCGATTTACAATATTATTCAACGTAAATCATCATTTTCAAAAGGTTTTATAGGCTGATTTATGAAAATGACCAAGTTTTCTAACACAAAACGCTTCTGTCTGCCTGGAATGTTCCACAGTATTGCATTAAAACTACATTTAAATACATATCAGTTCAATTTTAAGGCTAAATACTTATAAAATTAATAACATCCATTCTTATTGGGAGTGGGGTTCAGGTCTCCATAGGTCCGACCTGTAACTGGACTGTCACTTGCTTGTCGTGATTTTGATTTTAGACTTTCCAGGCGTGAAACAACATCTCCATGGCGACGAGTAAAAGTAAAAGTGGAGCTAATCACCTAAACTCTGTCCACAATCACATTTGGAATAGAAATGTTAAAATATCGGCAATATCTGGAGGACTAAAGGAGAGAGTGAGGGTCTAGAGGACGAATGCCGAGTTTTATTTTTCTCTGCGAACCCACTCGGATCTCGGATTTATTATTGTTTTGCGTGTCCGACTTGGAAAAAAACGTGGACGCCACTCGGAAAGCTAAAAGACTAAAACCAGGTCTAAACTAGATCTAAACCAGGTCTAAACCAGGACTAAAACAGGATTTAACAGGACTAAACTATGCTGGGCGGACGTTTCTCCTCGTCTTCTATCAATAATATTTTTAATATGGTTAAGGAAAGTCTGGGCTTTTTATTTTCTTTTAGCAGACAAAATATCTTATTTTACTATTTCCTCATCTTTGTTTCTCTACAGCAAACCAAGTAATCCAAAGTATTCAGATTACGTTACTCACTTTAAGTAATTTAATGGATTACGTTACAAACTACATTTTGGGGTGTGTAATCTGTAATCTGTAGGGGATTACATTTTAAAAGTCACCTTCCCAACACTGGAGGTAATTTAGCGACCGATGCATCAGTTTTCAGTCCCTTCGTCTAAAGACACTCTTCCTGTACTTTTAATTCATCTGAGCGTCTGTCTTTTACCATTTCTTCAAAAGATCCTGTGTTTGTTTTAGTTTTTTATGACCCCCTAAACCTGATCCTGTTTTTATCCAAGAATTTTCTGAACTTTTATCCCAGTCTTTGACCCTACACAACAAGGTCTTGCTGCCCCGTCAAACCTCAACCCCTAACTTCTGATTTTCTGCCTGCCAGTTTTGTAATCAGAAATACCTGTCTGTAATCAGGGCAGTCTTTTGTGATATCACATAGTACTTGGAATCGCAGAGGCCACTGGAGCCAGCGCACCCACTTACATTTATGTGTTTTTTACATTTACCTGGTTTGTGCTAAAGTTGGAAGCGAAATTTAGGATCGAATTGAAAATAACTGACTGAGCTCGTCGTCTAATTTTGAGATTTCTTGGGAGTTTTTTCTTCCCGCCGTGTAAAACTCCTTACTCACTATTTTACATCGTGCCCTACTTCACTTACAGACCCACAGCATCAGCAGAACTCTTCTCACTTCCTCTCTCTCGCTCTCTGGCTCCTTCTGCAGGTTCTGGTTCTAACCTCCCTGGACCCGGCCCATTCTTTTGTGTCCTTTATAGTGGACATTGAGTTTAACTATGTGTCCTTTATAGTGGACATTGAGTTAACTATGTGTCCTTTATAGTGGACATTGAGTTAACCAGTACTACGTGTCCTTTATAGTGGACACTGAGTTAACTATGTGTCCTTTATAGTGAACATTGAGTTAACCAGTACTACGTGTCCTTTATAGTGGACATTGAGTTAACTATGTGTCCTTTATAGTGGACATTGAGTTAACCAGTACTACGTGTCCTTTATAGTGAACATTGAGTTAACCAGTACTACGTGTCCTTTATAGTGGACATTGAGTTAACCAGTACTACGTGTCCTTTATAGTGGACACTGAGTTAACTATGTGTCCTTTATAGTGAACATTGAGTTAACTATGCGTCCTTTATAGTGAACATTGAGTTAACCAGTACTACATGTCCTTTATAGTGGACATTGCGTTAACCAGTCGACCTTTTAAGTGTTTTGAGATAGAGCCTTAGTGGGGGGAGGAGGTTCCTCTGCCTAAATATCGCTGGGAGATTATCGGTACTATCATGTCCAGGATAAAAAATGAACTCAGTAGGAGTTAGTTTGTGGCTGAACTATAATAACAAAAATTAAGAAATGAAAAGGGAGTCTAAAAACTGACTGTAGAAGCTTGTCAAAGACGTTGGTCATCAATAAAGTTGTTTTTGTTAGGTTTACTTTACATGGATTTAACACCAAAATGTCCCCGCTGGACATGTTGCAAAAAAATAAATTCAACAAAATCTAAATGCAGCGGTGTTCATTTACCTCCAAATAGAAAATCACACAAAAAAAAAAAACAAAACTCACTCTCTCTTTGTGTCTCTCTGGCTCCCTCTGCAGGTTCTGGTTCTAACCTCCCTGGACCCGGACCATTCTTTTGTGTCCTTTATAGTGGACATTGAGTTAACTATGTGTCCTTTATAGTGAACATTGAGTTAACCAGTACTACGTGTCCTTTATAGTGGACATTGAGTTAACCGGTACTATGTGTCCTTTATAGTGGATGTTGAGTTAACCAGTACTACGTGTCCTTTATAGTGGACATTGAATTAACTATGCGTCCTTTATAGTGGACATTGAGTTAACCAGTCGATCTTTTAAGTGTTTTGAGATAGAGCCTTAATGGGGGGATGAGGTTCCTCTGCCTAAATATCGCTGGGGGAATTATTGGTACTATCATGTCCAGGATCAAAAAATGAACTCAATAGGACTTAGTTTGTGACTGAACTATGATAACAAAAATTAAGAAATCAAAAGGGAGTCTAAAAACTGACTGTAGAAGCTTGTCAGAGATGTTGGTCATCAAAAAAGTTGTTATTGTTCAGGTTATTATCTTCACATGTATTTAACACCAAAAAGTCCCCGGCGTCCATTACAGAGGACATGTTACGAAATTGTAAATAAAAATAAAATCAACAAAATCTAAACGCGATTCATTTCCCGTCCAAATAGAAAATCGTAAAAAAAAATATAAAGTGTATACTGAGGCCGGGCACATTATTGTGTTATGTAATTAATTCATTATCGCTGACAATAATTTTTCTTCCCTTAAAGCAGTTATTATTATTATTATTATTATTATTATTATATAACTCATGCGATTAATATTTTTTATTTTTGCCCAGCCCTTGTATATATATTGAAATACACTTTTTTCTGTCTCTGGGGGTAACGGCTCTTGGTCGGGAAGATACAAAAACAGAAAGACGTCATGTGATCTGGAAATCGAACCAGAAACCTTCTTGTTCTACTTATAAACTCATAGCATCAGTACAACTCTTCTCACTCTCTCTCTTTGTGTCTCTCTGGCTCCCCCTGCAGGTCCTGGTGTGGCACACGCGCACGGAAAAACCACATCTCGCCAACGAACCCAAGCATCGCAAGGACACCGTGATCATCGAGGTCTGAGCCGCGAACGGACCGCGAAACGTTCCCGAAATGTTCCCGAAATCAACGTGAAAACGAAAAATAAAGACTTCAACTCGGATTTAAATACAGGGATGATTCAACTTTCCTTCTGACAGATGGATTGTACAAATTGACACTTCAAACTCTTACGAAATGGACCAACCTTGGAACTTTTCTTTCGGGAAGCTCTCCATGGATGTTATGTCCTGCTTTGCCTGGAAAGTTCCGCAGTATGGCTTTAATCTACAATAAATTCATTCAATTATAGGCGTTATTATTATCGCTAAACTAAAATACCCGTTCTGACTGTGAGCGGGGTCGCCTCTACGTAGATCCGACCTGCAGCTTGGCCTTGTGGCGTCCTTGGAGATAAATAAGTTTAATGCCGTACTGTGGAACATTTCCGGCAAAGAAAAGTTACACACTGGACCTTCGGAACCTTTGAAACGAACCTAAACAAACGGACAACAATACTTTGATACGGTATTGACTTGAAGTGCACAGATTGTGAAGTGAACTTTTACCTGAAAGTGTTAGAAAAACTGCACAGCGCCCCCACGTGGACGAAACGGACGCTCCTTTCTCTCGTCTTCGGTTTGTCGATGTAAAAAATGTAATGCGTTCTACTGTATGTGAAATCTCAAAGTGCCATGTGAATGAATTTTGTTTTGTCAAATGTTTGATTGTACTTAAAAGTTTCAGTTTTGTGGCTCAGGAAATGGTCCAACACTGGAAGATACAGAACATCCGGGCGAAGGTTAAGATATTTGTCGAAGTCTTCTGCATTTGACTCATTCTTCGGAGTATTTTGGGTTAAACCGGTCAGAGATCTGAGCCAGGATCTTACAAGAATAGTACGCACCTGGAGGATTTTAATGTCGATGGGTTTAAAGGTTGTGTGGGGGATTTTTTTTCAGTTTCAAATTGTCAATGAAAGTTTAAAATACCATTACAGAGACGCAGCAGCTTTGTAATTATGATGACCAAAAAAAAAAAACCTATGAAAATCTATCAACTGTGGACGTGTTGAGGCCAGATAAACATCAGCCAATAGAAAACGAGGCTGCCTCATTTTCTATTGGCTGTTAGGTTGTCAATCAAACTCCCTACGTTTCTAGTGTAACTGACTCGTCGGCGCGCGGGGATTATGTGGTTTATGCAGCAGTTCTTAGAGGCTTTTTCAAACTGTCACTTCCTCGCAATTCGCACAAAGTTTATTGAGATGGGGGACGAGAATCCACGACCAGTTCGCCGCAAAAGAAAGTCCGTTTCTGAGGTCGCTGAAAGAAGAAGAGAAGGGGAAAAGGAAGAGAAGGGAAAAGGAGTGAAGACAAACTGAGGTGATTCTTGGAGATTCCTTCCAGCGATGGCGCGAATGAAGTGGATGAAGGGTCTAAAAACTGACGCATCGGTCGCTAAATTATTTCTAGACAGGTCACTTCAACAGCGCACTGGATGTAAACATGTGTGATTTCTAGAGTAAAGAGGCGGGAGGAGGTGTTTCTACTTGTGGAGCTGTGGAGGAGGGAGGTGGTGTCACATATGCACAACATTTGAAAAAGGACGGTCGCTGTATTTCATTTTCCTTAAAAAATCCTCTATACAACCTTTAACTTGAACAAATCTACAGGGAGAACATGCAAACCCCACACAGAAAAGCAACATCCTCCAGTTATTTTAATAGATCCATGATACAGACAGACCTTGTGTGTCCCTGATTGGCTGATCCACAGTGTTGGGAAGGTGACTTTTAAAATGTAATCCCCTACAGATTACAGATTACATACCCCAGAATTTAGTTTGTAACCGAATCCATTAAATTACTTAAAGTGAGTAATGTAATCTGAATACTTTTGGATTACTTGATTTTCTGTAGAGAAGCAAAGACTAAGATATCGTAACATAAGATGTTTTGTCTGATAAAAGAAAATAAAAATAATAATAAGCCCAGACTTTATTGAACCAAATTAAAAATAGTATTGATAGAAGACGAGAAGACACGTCCACACAGCAGGATTAAGTCCTGTTAAATCCTGGTTTAGACCTGGTTTAGACCTGGTTTAGTCCTGGTTTAGTCCTGGTTATAGTCCTGGTTATAGTCCTGGTTTAGTCCTAGTTTAGACCTGGTTTAGTCCTGGTTTAACCTGGTTTTAGACCTGATTTTAGACCTGGTTTTAGTCCTGGTTTAGACCTGGTTTAAACCTGGTTTAGACCTGGTTTAATCCTGATTTAGACCTGGTTTAGTCCTGGTTTAGACCTGATTTTAGACCTGGTTTTTGTTCTGGTTTAGACCTGGTTTAGACCTGGTTTAGACCTGGTTTAGTCCTGGTTTAGACCTGGTTTAGACCTGGTTTAGACCTGGTTTAGACCTGGTTCGGACACTAAACCAGGTGGTTTAGTGTCCGACAATGAGTGGAATTACTGGGGGGAAAAAAAAAAAAAAAAAAAAGGGATATAGCCCGAAATGTGAAAACAGTTAAATCCCTCTGTGTAATCCATTTATTTCAACAAAGTAACTGTAATCCAATTACCACTCACTGAAACAGTAACTGTAACTGAATACAGTTACTCATCATTTGTACTCTGATTACATAACTCTGGTACATGTAATCTGTTACTCCCCAACACTGCTGATCCACCTGTCAATCACGCCCATCTGAACTTGTAAAGAAAACTCTCTACTCACGTTTACGTCACAAACCAGACAAAAAAACGTCTGGAAACACGTGATGACAACTTCTTTTGGGCTCTGTTTGCGGTAGTAACCCTGCGTTCGATTATCCTTCCGATTATCCTTCGTTTTCCGAGGAACTTTTACTGAGACTCAGACCTCGGTGGTAGAAGAAATCGACCGAGGAAGGATTCTGAGTCAAAATCCAAGACGGTTCCGCCCCCTGTGACGTGTAAATATAAAGTGTTTCCATCATGTTTGGAAACTTTGGAGGTTTAAATGACAGTTTCAGTCACTCATGTTACTGCGATACTTGACCACGTCCGTATCACTTCCTGCGGGTTTGGGAGTCGGTGTCGTGGTGAGGCCAATATTGACACATCAAGAATCTCGGACTTCCGGTCACTGCGCAATACACACTGGGAAGGATTGTCCGAAAAATAATAATTAATCATTTTAGTAATATACTCAAACAAACGAAAACAGTCAGATCAGTCAGAGTTTTGAGGCTCTTTAACATTTTGAGGGGCTGGATGACGTCATCGGCCAAAAATAAAACTGCGAATATCTTAAAAACCAGAATCGTGCAAACGGAACTCCACATAAGACTCCATTTTGAAGCTTCCTGGGGTTCGGCTGACCACATTTAGACCTATAAAAGAATCATTAATATCTCCAAAATCATATCAGCACAAATGCAGCGCAAACAATAGACATAGTTTTTGTGTAGGATTGCGTTTGATGTTCGCTGCAAACTTGGGATGATTTTTTAGGCAGTCAAAGTTTTCCTTTTTTTGTCTGTGGATCAATCCTGCCCATCGCCTTCACCTTTCACTATTTTTCAATTCCGCTGGGAAGAGAAACAGTTTGAACGGAGGTTTGAGTCACACACATCTGATTCTCTTTTGCATCTATGGAGTTCGCAAAACACATTTCTCGAGTCGTTTTCCGCTGTTAGGATCCAACAACCACAACAATTAACGATGTCCCAATCCCAGAACTAAAATATGACAATATCAGAACCAGAAACAAAAGCGATGTGGTTCAAAAGACTTGAAAAGATCAACTTTGTCAATAGACGCATCCCACTGTAAAATCAAACACGGCGGTTTGATGCTCGCTTTTTCGGAGAATCCTTCCCAGTATGGATTGCGTAATGACCGGAAATCCGAGATTCTTGATGTGTCTATTGAACAAATACTTGATTTAACGGGCATTAACGTTCTTAAGGTTGTAACGGAAGAGAAGTCATAACATAAAATGAAGTGCAAATTCCAAACAGTAAATTAATTAAAGTGGGAGCGTTTTCATAAGATGCGGGAACAGTCATGATCATAATCCATGTCGTCCGACACGCTAAACATAATACACTTCAAGCTCGGACGCGAGGTCACATCCGAGATCCAAGTGGGAGTCGGAAGATAATCGAACGCTGGGTCAGTCTGTCAAAATCTAGGAAAAATGAGTCATTGCAGCGTTCCGTTATGTTCGGCTCATCAACAATTCCAACCACACCTCAGTTTTCATCATTTCCCCGCTGACGCACAACTCCGAGCGCGCCGGGTACACGCGATTAGAAGAGACGAGGCGCCAAATTCCAGATGATTCCAAACAGCTCATACGTCCGCAGTCTTCATTTTACCGCTGATCACATTTACTTCACGTCGGTCGGCGAGTCCAGTGTCGGGAACTACATCGAAAGTTGTCGTCGCGTGTTTCCAAACGTCTTTCTGATTTGTGACGTAAGCGTGAGTAGAGACTCTTGGAGAAGTGTGAGTCTGGATCCCAACGACTTCCAACTTTTAAATTTGCCTGCAGCCTGTTTTAAACGTGTAAACAAACCCCACAAACCCTTCCACCCACACACTGCTCTGTTTGCAGTTGTACATTAGGTTTTATTGTCACAAAAGGGTTTCCTCTCCAGTACATTAGAGTTTGATGGTCCTTCTGTATAAGTGTCTGTATCAGATGGGAGGCCCTCAGGTTGAAACATAATAAAAGCCAAACAGTGTGAGAAAATCTATACAGGACTGAGAGTGTATAGTCCCCCGCAGCCCCGAGCAGCCGTGTCCGGGCAGTTTAATGGAGTGGAGATATGTGGCGTTCAGTGCAGCTTAAAGGGCCCGTTTTACACCGAGTTCTGATCTACGTCATAATGTTTCCTCATCACAAACAGACCTGGAGTTGTGTTTTGTTTCATTCACACATTTTTAACACACAAACCCTGTGTATTTAGGCTCAGTTCTTCTCAAAATGGATTTAGGGTGGACCACACTAGGACTTAGAGCCGTGTCGTGCTCAAGCATGACTGCTGTGAGTTCTATGGCCACACTCACA